GTGACCTGCCTGCGTCGTAAGTTCTTAGTTTCCTAGGAAGAAATGGGAATTCTAAAAGAGAGCACAGTATGGAGATTAATACCGTCTGCAGAAATAATTGCAAAATCTAATTTGATTGAACAAATACAGGGTTGAACAAAAATATCATCAGAAAGCGTCAAAGATCTCGGGGACCGTTCAGCTGAAACGAAAAAGAAATAAAATGGATTGGTACGAAACATTATTATGGAAGGAGCTTGGTATCACTTGACGTATATCTTTACGTCAAGATATCAAATTAATCGGAATGTGCACATTTAAAAATGAAAAACGACCTATACCAGGTGTAAAAAGTAAACCCTCTTCGTCTCCTCTAGTTTTAGAGATAACTGATTGAAATTTGGAATAACTCAACAACATGATGAACGTCAAGTTTTGACATACATATGTTTCATTTTGCACTTCCGGTTTCACCGAAAGTGGTAATAACTTTCGGTTTTTGAATGGATAACCTTGTATATCATTGAATTTTCGAATTCTGCATTATTTTCTGAATCTAATGATACCACATGAGTGACATCTCAAACTTCAATAATGATTTCAATTTCATTTTTTATTCTCCATCTGAGTGTGCCATGACTATTTTTGATCGAGTCTGATGCACTCATATCGACAGATGTGATGCTAAAAAAATTGAATCCTCTAAAAAATGTCAAATTTCTTGGTTAATCATCAAATTGAGTTCAACAAAATGGTTTGGTGTACCATGATCCTGGTACACCCTCTCCAAAGGTTTTCCTCGCGAATGAGTATATATGCCATAATCACATAATTTTTTATATCAATGAATCTATCAACACGAATTTCCTATATGGGATGTTTCCTATAACTATGCGGAAATAATCCATGAGCCAAAATTATGTTCTTTCATGAACATTATGTCCAAAAAGCTTCTTCGCAACTCTGGAAATCGAAGTATGCAATCAAAATTTGGGAAGAACTCAAGAAACCAAGGGCCGTTGGCACAGGTTTATAATCATGGATATGCTGAAAATCTAAATTGCCTAAGCGATTTTTAGATTAAACATCGTTTCTTTCTGAATTCAACTACAATTTATCACTTATTCTTCAATGTTTGCCACATTTTTAGGTTATGTCTAGAAATGTATACATACTTACCTGAGACGGACTTTATCGTTGAAACTGTATACAAATCTCATGGAATCCATCGAAATAATGTATAATTCTAATCACGATTATGATTATGACATACCTATGATATACTTGCGATCATTCATTGCAATGAAATTTGATTCAAAACAATATCTGTGTCGGCGTGAAAGTAATGCAATGAAGATATCAAAATACATAATGGTACAGTAAGTTTGAGTACCTATATAAAGTGGTGAACACCAGAAGTCTGAATCCAGTTCTTCTGTAACACAAGAAAAGAGCGATAATGTTTTTAAAGGTGAGTACCTATTACTATATACACTTACGATTAAAATAATTGTGGTTCGTCCAATCTAGATTTGATGAAAAATTGTTTGACAGATGTCATATCTCTCCATCCAATAAATTCTGATTTTTGAATGAGGCACACTGTATATCCATATCCTTCATATTTTGACTCACATTGACATTATGACGGAACTTTTAATTTTGTTTCTGATGGACTGATGAATACATCTTCAAACGAACTTTGATAATAAGTACATAGTTCACCTGTACCTCTGAAAATTGTTTGAAATTGAATTGATGAATAATCGGGAACTTCATCGGTGGAATATAGTTTATCCTGGGTTTCTTAGATCAAAAACTATACAAATGATCAATTTCAACAAATTCACGATGATCAAGATTCGATAGATACTTTCGAAATATATTTTTTTGTTACTGGTAGGTACAGGGTGTCCCACTTAAATATATCACCAACCCTTTATCCTCGTAATTCTCAACCTATATTTTGGCCATTCAAAAACGTTCCTGTTGAATAATTTCTTTGGATTTTTTTGAATCTGTGCACACTTCTTATAAGAAACTATTTTTCCTCAAATGAAATCATCTAAATGTCAGTCGAATATATGAATGATATATATTTTTGAATTCAGATTGACGGGCTCCATCGAATTATTGAAAAAAATATAGATCATTTCATTAGAATTTTTTTTGGGCCACACTGTAATTTGTTGATATAAAGGAAAAGTAATCATTTGAAATTGTGAGACCATATTTTCAGAAAAATTCTTGAATAACCAAAATGTGATATAATTGCAAATTATTTATCAAAATCGATTGATTCCAACAGAACTCCGGAGTTATTTAATTCAGTATTCTCAATGGGGATTTAAGCAAAAATTAGTGTTATGGATAAAAATACACGTTGTTTGTAATTATATTTTGTGCTTTTTGAAACCTACATACTCAACTGATTGAAGTAATAAATGATTCATTTATCTCACCACTAACTTCAGAACACAAATAATAACAGGGTGTCTCAAAATCAATGCCCGCAAGCTTCCCTTCCGGGGGCTCAAATAAATCCCTATATGTACCGTCTTCAACGTTTATACTCAAAATATGTATCAGGAGGTGAAATAGTACATTATACATCAAGGGACAAAAATGCAAGATTTTTTTCCAAGGTGCGAGGGAAAAATTGCGCTCTGTCCTGAGGTGTATATACTATTTTTTACGCTGGCGAAAACAGAAAAATTGAGAAAGAATAAAAATTTGGTCAAAGTGTTTCGTCATAATAAGTAGTAGTATAGTTCGTATCTTGACAACATGCATCTTTTTTTTTGCTATTGCATTACCTCGTTGGTCCCAGCACTGAGACCAAACTCCCTATAAGTCGAAACTTGTGCGGGGTTAGGTAAGCATACAAATACAAACATCCATGGCTTAACTAGGATTCGAACCTATGTCTCGGTGGGAGTCCCCATACGAACTCAGCGCCTTCACGCTCTCGACCACCGAGCCGCCTTGTTGACAACCCATGGTGACAGCAAATATCAAACTAAAATTTATGAAAACAGCTTCGAAAATTGTTAACGGTTATGGAACAAGAAATCGAGGGAAAACCCCAAGAAACTATTGATACTGCTTCTGCAGTGATTCATAACCTGCTACCGCAGTGAGATCTAGAAATATGTATGATGCAGCTTATACTCGCTTCAGAGAAGGGTGTTCCGAAAAGGAAGCGCAGAGCTATGCGGAAAATGTAAAGTTGGTATAAACTCCCTAGGGAGAAAATATGTCACATTATCTCCCTAGGAAATAATACAAGACTTCTGTCCCTCTTTTGTTACCAGAGAAACTAACTTTTACTCCCGCCGGCGTAAAAACAATAATAATCAATCAATAAGCGGGTTCGTAATAAAAAGCATCTCCATCTCACTCCAGGAAATCTTCGCTGTGGCCTTGATGGCAGCCCTCTGCTCCGCTACCAACATAGCCCAAGGCGGCTACCACAGCCTCCAACATCACCACGTGCCCCTAGCTGTTCCGGTAGTCGCCCAAGTCCTTCAACCCCAAGTGGCCCGCGTCCACGTCCCGGTGGTGCAAACGCGCGTCGAACCCTACGACCCCAACCCCCAGTACACCTTCGCTTATACCGTGGACGACAGATCTACTGGCGACTCCAAAACCCAGCACGAATCCAGACACGGGGACGTGGTACGCGGTCAGTACAGCTTGACTGATCCAGATGGTTCCAGAAGGACAGTGGACTACTCGGCTGACCCCCACAGCGGATTCAACGCAGTCGTGCAGAGAACGGTCGTAGGTCATCACTAAGGACGTTGTTGTTCCGGATTATTTATAACTCTAAGAAATGGTTTGGTTGCAAATGTATATTATAATGTATAAATAAATAAATTGAGATTATTGATGATTGCTTTTTGCTAAACGCCACGAGCTGAAGAGTTTCTCGAGATCGACTCTTGATCTTGTCTCGATCTTGTCTCGATCTTGTCTCAATCTTGTCTTGATCTTGTTGCATATAAAAATGGTGTTTCTTGATTAAATGAACAGTATTTTTCAAGATTTTGAGAAAGAAACTATACGGCGAATGCTCATGAAATGAAAAAACAAAACTTGTATTAGAATGAAATTCCATTATTTGTTTATAATCTTTAGATGAACAGATTTCACATAATTCGGAAAACGAAAAAGAGCACTCGGTAAATTCGATAATAATTGTGAAATATAATATAATTTTTTAACATATTCCGAACCTTGAAAACATAAGAACCATCATGGAAGTATCTGTATAATAATTCTATTTGTAAATTTTTATATCCCTGCGTCAGAATTCGCTTCAATTTTTGTATTCGCGATAGAAAATAAGCGTACGCCACCTATCGGAGTTCTTGGAAGCTACCAAAGCGGTCTGTTTACTTTGTTTTCATTGGTTCTCATTTGTTTTTTGTTTGTGCTTATTGGTCACATCCATCAAAACAAAACAAAGCGCTCAGAAGTGTCCAAATGTTGCCGTCAGGTGAAGCGACGTGTTATTTTCTATCGCGAATAACGTCTTTTCTACTATCAATGACAGTTAATGTCAGTTCACCATTTTCCCTAATAACTCAAAACAAACCACAGACTTTAGACTTTACTCGAAAGGTATTGCAATTCTGAAATTCGAAAGTATCTTGAACATTTTTTTCAATGGATTATATCTACGTCAAAATTACAAATATAAACAACACGATTATTCAGCAAACAATCATCGGCTCTAACACTCTATTATGCTGATATAGGTAGTTGAGTTGAATTATTAAACAGTATCCACCTTAGGTTAGTTGTCGGTATTACGTACTAACTCAGTGAAACTTTGTCAGTAACGTCACACCAGCAATTGTGAAGTCAAAGAGACGTTGAACCATTATGACATCTCGATAACGTAAAGACCCCGTCGGTGTGACGTATCAATTTGGTGGTGTTCGTTTCTTCGAGAATCCGCTTATTCGTGGACGACAGACCTACTGGCTATCCCAAAACGCAGCACGAATCCAGACATGGGCACGTGGTTCGAGGCCAGTACAGCTTCACTGATCCAGATGATTCCAGACGGACAGTGGACTACTCGGCTGACCCCAACAGCGGATTCAACGCAGTCGTGCAAAGAACTGTGTCGGTCGTAGGTCATCACTAAGGACGTTGATGTTCCGGATTATTTATAACACTAAGAAATGCATGGTTTGGTTGCAAATGTATATTATATTGTATGAGTAAATAATTTCAGATTATCGATGATTGCTTTTTGCAACTCAAACCTGAAACCTAAGGAATGTTATATGAAGGTCGCCCAAGTCCTTCAACCCCAAGTGGCCCGCGTCCAAGTCCCGGTGGTGCAAACGCACGTCGAACCATACGACCCCAACCCCCAGTACACCTTCGCTTATACCGTGGACGACAGATCTACTGGCGACTCCAAAACGCAGCACGAATCGAGACATGGGGACGTGGTACGCGGCCAGTACAGCTTGACCGATCCAGATGGTTCCAGAAGGACAGTGGACTACTCAGCTGACCCCCACAGCGGATTCAATGCAGTCGTGCAGGAACGGTCGTAGGTCATCACTAAGGACGTTGATGTTCCGGATTATTTATAACTCTAAGAAATGGTTTGGTTGCAAATGTATATTATATTGTATGAATAAATAAATTGAGATTATCGAATGATTGCTTTTTGCAACTCGAACCTAAAACCTAAGGAATGTTATGAAAGTCGCCTCGATCTTGTCTCGATCTTGTCTCGATCTTGTCTTAATCTTGTCTTGATCTCGTTGCATATAAAAAGGGTGTATCTTGATTGAATGAATTCTTAGAAACAGTATTTTTCAAGTTTTGAGAAAGAAACTATACGGCGAATACTCATGAAATTCTGAAAAAACAAAAGTTGTATCATAATGAAATTCCATTATTTTGTTCATACTTGATCTTTGAATAAATTTTACATAATTCGGACAACGAAAAAAAGTGTCTGTATAATAATTCAATTGGAAATTTGATATTTATATCCCCGCGTCAATATTCGCATCAATTTTTGTATAACGCCGTTTCTCCTATCAATGACAGTTAATGTCAGTTCACCGTTTTCCCCAATAACTCAAAACACAACACAGACTTTACTCGAAAGGTATCGCAATTCTAAAATTCGAAAGTTTCTTGAAAAGTTTGTTCAATGGATTATATCTACGCCAAAATCACACGATTCATCAGCAAACAGTCATCAGCTCTAACACTCTATATGCTGATAGATGTAGTTGAGTTGATCCGACCTGTCCTGGAATACTGTTTCCATATTTGGAGTGCAGCACCCAAACATACCCTGAAACTGTTGGATTATGTCCAAAAAAAGACAATTCGTCTCGTGGGTGATGCCTCGCTCACAAACTCACTCACTTCTCTGGAACACCGTAAAGAAGTTGGCGATCTGGCTCTATTTTATAGATATTTTCAGGGACGATGCTCTTCTGAAATATCAACAATTGTTCCTCCCTTGGCAGTCACCGCAAGATTAACCCGTGGAGTTGAGGCTTCGCACCCCTTCGTGGTCACTTTGGAGACCTGCTGAACATCTCTTTCCAGAGACTCGTTCATCCAACGAACAGCGAGGCTCTGGAACACATTGCCAAGGGAGGTGTTCCCCGAGGCATATAACCTCCAGAAATTCAAGAAGAACACCAATTCCTACCTTATTTTCCTTGATTCTCACGATGTTCTCTGAACATCACAGAATATCCCTTTTCGTGGGAACCAGAACATAAAAAAAACAGCTTGACTGATCCAGATCGTTCCAGAAGGACAGTGGACTACTCGGCTTTGAATGATTATGAACAAATAATGGAATTATATTATAATTCAAGTCTTGTTTCTTCAGAATTTTATGAGCATTCGCCGTATAGTTTCTTTCTCAAAAACTTGAAAAATACTGTTCATTCAATCAAGATACACAATTTCTATATGCAACGAGATCATGACAACATTAAGACGAGATCGAGATCAAGGCTCGATTTCGTGAAACTCTTCAGCTCGTGGCGAGGGCTTCGCGAGACCAAGAGTACCAAGACTTAATAAATCTTCCCAAGACCAAGGCCTAAGAAAGTGTTTGAAATCACACGTTAAAAGGTAAGACCCGTCATTCTTTGCTCGCACAAGTCTCTTGAAGACTTCTGAGGGTTGGTCGTAAGGGGGCAACTGTATGTATACTTCGGCAAAGTCGATAATGAATTTTGAGATTTTTCTGTACCTCGGCAAAGTCGATAATGAAAATACTGTACTGTATTAGACTCGTGGTTGATAACTATAATTTATTATTATTAAACATATTCAGTTACACTTTCTCATAGGCACCTTGCGTCCTCAGCCCTTGGTACATCAGATCTAATCGCATTATCAGGTCCTGATTTTCACTTGTTCTCTATCCTGCGACTCCTGCATACATACATTTTATTTGCTGACGTAACACCCTCGATCTAACTATATACAATGCACAATGTCGTTACACAAACACCGGCGAGGGTGAAAGGGATGGTAAAATTATGGAAAATCAATTATTTACGTCATTTTGACCTGCATGATGTGTGTAGTTTGTGATAATATTGTTTTGCAGCAGTTTGACACACCATCTGTTTGTGCATTATTGTACGAATATATAGAGAGATGAAGTGATAGGAATATGAAATACAAAGCATTGTTCATTATGTTTCATTGCTCCTTCCTCGTTGATTAGTGCTAGTTTCCGTTTATTCGTATTAGCAAGTATTAGATCACACTTCTGAAGATCTACATGGCGTGGTCGTGTGATTGTTATATAACAAACTAGAGTCACTGGATGATGGTATTCGTTGGATAAGAGTTCGGACACAGTTGAACTTCGATCCTTCTCTATTTTCTATAATACAATGGTTTGAGTGGATGAAACAATAAGACATATTCATCATTCCAGATTTTTTGGTATCTTCTCTCCTCGTTTCTATAAAATAAATATATGAATATTATTTCAATATACGTGTAGTAAGGACAAATCAAATGATTTGCCCCAAAATGTCACTGCATTTGAAGAAATTTTCTATCAGAGACCCTAAAAGAAAAATTCACTAGCTTGTCAGTAACAATTTTTATTGAAACAAGTTTGGAGAAGAGAAATGAAGGTATATAGGAAAATTATCAAATGTTCACTTAGCTTTGGACGTTTCGGAAACGAATCTGCTCTCGTTTTCAACATAAAAAATGGATTTTTGTATCGCAAATTCGTATTTGTCCTGACACTTTTCAGTTCTCACTTCTCAGTGACAATTGGTGACGATGGTAATCAAATGAGTTACAGGATGTTGAAAACGGGAGCAGATTCGTTCCCAAAACGTCCAAAGATAAGTGAACATTTCATTTTTTTTATGTACCTTTAGCTTTTTGTGTAAAAATCATTTTATACTCAGGCATGGAAGAGATAATCATGATATTATATGGTTGAGAACCAAAAATTAGTTCAAACTGATTCTCGACCACAGTGGTCGATAACTGAATATGCTCAAATTGGTTTTCGACCACCAATAAATGAATTGAAGAAGAAATATGATTTGGGCCTCATTTGATGGTCACAATAAGTAGATATCTATAAATGAATGAGTATCTAGAGAAAAATTCAACGTTTTTCAAATAAAGTTTATAGCTAGACATAAACAATTATTCAAGATATGCATAAACGAGCCAATTTTTGTGAAATACGGGTTCTCGACCACCGAATATTCAACGAAAAGATAATATTTAATATCAACTACCTAGCACTTTTCAAACATGGACACAGCTTCTGTCAATGACAGACGGTTATCGAATGATTTTATGTGTGAAAAAAGCTCGACTTTTTGCCTACTCTTCCAATTTTAATGGTATAAGGAATATTTATCTTACCCTACGAAGATTGAAAGGTATAGCCTCCACTTCGCTTGTCTTCACAATTTCCACTATTATCCATGGCATAGCTGCAGCATTAAAAATTATTAAACTCACATTGTTTTATTGACCACAATAATAATTATGATCTGAATTCACAATCACAATAGCTTGAAATCTCATGTGACTTATAACACAAAGAACATACGAACACTAACTATAATAACTATATACCGTATACCTTTACCTCACCTAAACCCTATATCTAATCCACATGCTATCATTATTATATTCACACTTACCTAAAAAGTCCTCGTAGAAACTCTCAAGTCCCTATTCAACCAATAATTTGTAGTACCTACATATTTATAAGTATTTTCCTGATCTCCCATATTTATGGTCGGAATAAAAGCCGGTAACACTAACCAGCACTAACTAAAAACAAATCTCGTCTCAGAGCCGACCTCGCCCCACCACACCACTCACTCCATCAATAACATGATTTGCGACAAAATCGATGAGAATTCACTACAAATGATGAAAATGATTATTTTGATTGTTTTACCGCAAATCAGTGGACGCTTGCTTCAAATTTAGAAACTTTTATAGTAGGTGAGCCATACCAAATAAATCAATAATTTTGGTCCAGTTATTTTATTTTCACAGGCAGTGATAGTTTCGCTAGTGGTCAATACAAATTCGTGAATGAAATAATCATCTGACCCATTTTTCTCAGTGCACTTTTCAAACATGGACACAGCTTCTGTCAATGACAGACGGTTATCAAATGATTTTATGTGTGAAAAAAGCTCGACTTCTTGCCTACTCTTCCAATTTTAATGGTATAAGGAACATTTATCTTACACGCACCTTCACTATAATTTTGATTGACTATACATTTTGGTGGCAGCGTATGCAGCGTCCACCATATTAGAAGGTTGGATGCCTATTCCCGAGACGCGTATTGCGTAAGTGTACTCAATTGATCACCAAGACGTAAGTAGGTAATATGAGGAATGAAAATATTATTTCTGTATGGAAAAGGACACTACTAGACCCAACTCAGCCTAAATGAACCTTTTCCTGAAAAATTATATCACTTATTCGAAAAATTATTTGAGTGAAAAAAATAAAAAAAGTTGATGCCTCCAGGGTTTGAACCCCAGCCACCACCGTGGCAGTCCACCGAGCACCGAGCTATAGGGTAACTTGAAAGTTTTCACTAGGAAGAAAGAAGAAATATCGCTGGTTCTTTGCCGAAATAGGGACGGGTTTTTCCACATTTCATCCACAAATTGCTCATAAAAAGCGTGTCAGGTACGTCGTGCAGCGATTACCAACACTGGCGTGGAGGCTTATTGCGTACGCTTAAAAAATACGTTCCCAGGATTTCCATTTCCCATAATGATTTTCCATGGTGACGATTTCACTCATGTTCAAACCCCACCATGCCAAAATTAATTCAAAATTGAAATGATAGTAGTACTCAAATAATTCATTATAGGTAAAGTCTATGTTATGTCATTTGAACCATTTTGAACTTTGAGAAACGAAAATATATCTAATTCTAAACTACAATGATATTTTTAAAATCGTATATTCAGGATTTGCGATATGAATGAAATTCTGTCTAGAGAACAAGTTTACAGGTTGATTAACCTAACGACCAAACTGAATCACTTAAGACATCAACCTAAACTTGTGGTTGCAGCCATAGCTCATTGTGATCCGTTATATAGGTAATGAACAAAAAAAAAGTAACAACGGAACACATTATCGCGCTTTGAATCGTTTTCCTATTATTAATTTGAGATATTCAATTTTTCCCAAAATAATCGACAGTTGTATCGGATTACTCGATTTTATTTGACCAACAACTATGATGATACTAATCAATTTTTTGATATTATTTCTAGACGTTATAGTAACTATTTCAAAATATTAAATAGGGTGCTTGGTATTCACTCCAACTTTTTTGACCATTCTGAATGTCATCAATAACTTTCTTGAAATATTCACTCCATACTATTATTTTCATCCTATTGATTCGCTGAAACATACCCTATAGGTAGTTGAAATGAATATTCACAATTATTACAAAAAAAAAAAAATGTGAAATGCATTAGGAGTTAATGTTACATTGAGTGAAATTAACACATCAGAATGTGTTCATCTGTTCACAAAAAAAGCATGATTTGGAATTTGTGGATTGAAAAAATTGTATGACCCTTAAAAAACTTGAAATTTGGAAAATTCGTGGACATTGGGCATCATGGAAACGTCCGTGATCGTTTGGGTATGGAGAGATTTGAGTATTTTGGAATGTGGGAATCGTGGAAATCCATATTCTTTCCATTATCCTCGATACGTCGAATACTGCACTATTCGGACGATCTCTGTAATCGTTTCGAAATCTTGGAATTAGAGATGAATGCCAAAAATAATTTCATTGTGATGAAACTACATCTCTTAATAATTGATTTGATAGAAGACCTGAAATGATTGAGGTCAAAACATGAGGAACACAAAAAAATATATCAAAATATGACACCGCCTGTATATCGGAAATAGGGCTTCTACGCATACTTTAGATATTCTTTGAGCTGTTGAAGTCCTGCTCCAAAAAATTGACTGACCCTATATAGTCATGTACATTTCCGAAACCAGGTATGTTGTTCGAATATTTTATGATGTCTTAAATATGAAGGTGGATATCAAGATGACATAAAACGTCTTCGTGATGAGGTATCATGTGCAAGTTGATCGTTCTTAAATGAACCAACACAATTTTATAGCATGTTGGTTACGAAAACTTGACATCGTTACCGAGATTTTATAGTTACCAAATTATAGTCCTTCAGATTATTATATCTACAATGTCAGCTTGAAAACAAGACTGAAACAATAAAAAAAATAGACTATGTTTCGCTACTCTTGTGATTATGTAGGATCTCCCATTCACAAGACTACCAAGTTGATTTGATTTCCGATTGATTTTGATCGCAAACAATTGTCTAGATATGAGAGAGCATCAAGAATTTTTTAGGAACGGACAGTATACATACGTGTATGAATCAATGTGCACCAGAATTGACACCGATTCTTTGCAAATTATTTACCCATCTCATACAAGTCGTATGTCGGATGGAAGATAGCTGGAGTCCAACTAATCGCCAAAGAAGACAACGAAAATCTGCCCAAAAACTACAGGCCTATTGCCCTGTTATCAGTTATATCCAAAGTGATGGAGAACGCCATCAACATTGAGCTCATCAAATATCTGGAAAGCTTAGGAATCATCAATGATAGACGATATGCATATATCTGGAAAGCTTAGGAATCATCAATGATATAGACAATATGGCTTTCGCTATACCGAAGATCAACTGGAGATCTGGTGTTCAGCACCCATACATACGTTAATGTTCTTGGATTCCATCCAAAGAAGACCCATTCGCCTGGTGGGTGATGCCACAGTCAGCACTTTTTCGACATTATTGGAAATCAGTCGAAAAGTCAGCGACCTCTTAATTTTCTATAGATACTTCAACGGGAAATGTTCTTCGCAAATCTTTATCATTCTATCACTAGAAATACCAGACAGACAACCTCGACAAGCCCATGCAGTTTATCAGAACTCGTTTGTCTATAGAATGGCAAAGCTCTGGAATTCAATGCCTATAGAAGTATTCGCAAGAACTTATAATATACAAAAGTTCAAAAAAAGTCGAATAACTACATCCTCTTCCTACCCTCCCCAGCTACGCACGATGTTCTTCAAAACTTATAGGGATTCCCTTTCGTGCGCTCCAAGCGATAAAAAAATATATAGGACAGTCAATTATAATTCAAATATTAGGGTACTACAATTTCAAAGGAACGGGCATTTCAACAAGTGTCTGAAATAGATATCGAACGCACTTCGTTCACCAACTGATGTCCTTGTTCGAACCAAGGATGCTTCAAAATATCATTCGTAGTCAGCCTCATATGAATATTCGGCTCCAAAAGACCAATTTGCAGTCTCTTCAAGTTGCTCGAACACTCCGTCCAAATATAGGTTATTTCGCAGATGCACCTGTTGACTTGCTCATCCACCATTTCCAAGATATCCGAATCGTCAAATGGCATGGTCGCTGTAATCATAACAAACAGAACACACCCCAAAGCCCAAATGTCGTACATCTTGGGATCGTAAAACATCCCTTGAAGAATCTCCGGAGCTGCGTAAGCCGCAGACCCACAAAAAGTATCCGAAAGTACGTATTCGCCAGATTTGTTTCTGCAGTGTCTTGCGAAACCGAAATCGCCGAGCTTCACTTGATTGTAGCTCACAAGGAAGATATTTTCACACTTGATGTCCCTGTGAGCTATGTCTAGATTGTGGAGATGATGCAACGCTTCAGATACTTGCCTGAAGATATTCTTTGCCCTTTCTTCCGCAAGGGGACCTTCAGCCCTGATGTGTTCCAGCATATCGCCGATTTTGCAGTAATCCATGAAGATATAAACGGTATGTTTTAACTCCAAGATTTTATGGACAGTCACGATATTTGGGTGTTTGATGGCTGTTATTATTTTCAGTTCCCTTGGTAGAAATTTGGTGATGAATTCTTCTCCTGCATACCTTTTAGTTATTATTTTGCAAGCCAGTATCTTACCTTGTTCATTTCTGGCAATGCACACTTTACTGTATGTTCCTTTTCCGATTATTTTTCCTATTTTATAGCCTAATATCTGACAAATCTTCAGAGTGGTGCGTTCGGCAGCTGGTAAAGATGATTTCTTGGATTTTTTCGACATGATAGCTGTGAACTTTGCAGGATTTATTGGTTGGATATTCGCATGTTTGGAGGTGGTCTATTTTTCGTTTGAGGTTGACATAGTTTTGACATCTTAAGGAATTCAATCATGTCGATGTGTTCTATTTACAGGGTGTTTCTAATAGGTCTGTATAACATCTCAGCACATAGTCCTTAGGTCAAAATAGGCCGATTTAAAGCAACTTACCTCAGTCCAAAATTGCTCTATTTTCGACATACAGGGTGGTGAATTTGAAAAAAATAAATATCGGCAAGTATAGGTACACTCCAAAAGAGTATGGTGGAAAACTCAATTTTTGCACTGTTCATTTATTGACCTAATTACATCCATGCACGAAGATAACAGCAGCAAACATTGTTTATTGGAAATAATTCGAATATGTCTGCATATGTTCTGTTTCATCAACAGGTGGGATGTTTTTCTCTTGTTGATATTATTTTGAGAATACAGGGTGGGTTATAACTATTGGTTCATAGGCTAGGGGCGGATTTTTTTGATCAAAATATGGCGATAGGTCCTAATATGCCTTCATGAAATATTGCTGTGGAAAAAGATACAGGGTGTTTCAATCAAAATTCATTCATTCAGAAGAAATGTAATTTACCAGCAACAATTATCTGACGGTCCAAAGCACACTCTTCATGAATGAAATAATATTCGAAATCCCCTGCCAAGATTTTGTACTGTTAATTGCGTTTTCTCTGAAAAAATATCGTTTTCAAACAGGAGTACCAATATTTCGTAGAAATGATGTTCAAATTTGATGAAATTGACAAAAGTGCATTTTAGAGGATAACCCTTCTATGAGTGATCGAAGAAACCCGAAAGAAATCGTAGAAGGGTTAAAACCACCCACACACTCCCTCATTTTGTTTTCAGAACATTCTTAGGGGTGGTAATATAAGGTTTTCGAATTATTTAAGCAAGATTACTGATTTATTTTCTTTATTTTGTTACCCTTGTGAACATTTCGTATTCCGCATAGTGCCGAAAGGAAACAATGTTTTCTCAAATAATGCTAAGAGACATTTCTAGTAGAAGTTTGATAAAATCGTGATACCATATTAGTTGGCAGTGGAAATTAAGGAATTGACATTGGTATTGATGAAAGTGGGCGACATATTGAACATTAATTGAAAAAATATGTTCTGTTCTACAATGTACCTCAATGAGTTCAATGACACATTTTTTGTGCATGAAAGTCAACAAGAAATATGATTTTCTTGTGATTCATCAATATTTAGTGAAAAGAAGGAAGAATATCATTTGAAATAATGGCGTGTGCGTAACGTCATTCAGAAGCAATCTTTTTTTGACAATCTTTTGATATTTGACATCTCGTATTTGTATTGATTTTTGATTAAATTGCCGTCATCTGGTATGATTGTTTACTAAATATGAAAAACTTGCCATAAAAATCATATTTCGTGTTGAATTAAAAATGTGTCATTGAAGTACATCATGAGCATATATAAAGTGTCCTATGATGAAATTAGAAGAGCAAGTAGCAGTGAATGCATCCAAGACAGGGGGAAGAGAAAGCGAAATTTCGAAGTTTTCCTTGAAATATCTCGATAAATATTGATTTGTTCACATTTTTATTATCAAATTCGTGTTATTCAGACAGAAATACGTGAGTAACAAAACATTTTTTTGAAAAAAACCCTAGTACAAAATTACCAAGAACCCTTTTACCACCCCTAAGAATGTTCTGAAAAAAATTTCAGTGGGTGAGGGTGGTTTCAACCCTCCCACAATTTATTTTGGATTTATTTGATCCAAAAGGGTAATCCTTCAAAATACACTTTTGTCAAATTTTATCCAATTTGTTTCACTCATTTTTGAACTGCGTACAAAAATGTGTTTTTCTATGTAAACTTTGAATTCGTCTCACGGACAAACGGTACATTTTGTTATATAAATAATTTGGGTCCAATCAACTTATTTTGAACTTCATTCAATAAAGTATATTTTGTTGCAACCGACACGAAAGTCGTCCATTTTGATACCAAAAGTAGCTCTTGAATTGATGTTTCTATTACTGACAAAAAACATAGGGTTCCTAGGAGCTAAAGTTCACAAGAATGAACAACATTGTTATGTTTGATTATTTGGGTTGGGACGCATACCTGATTTGTTCCCGATTTCGGCAGATTTGATATTCCATACCCATGCTGGAGATATATATAAATACCATATTATATTCAAATATTTCATTTTTAATGTATATGTTAGTAGTAAAGATTGGCCGGTTCTGGCTCTCCGCCCTAGGTCACCGTCCTCCGACCTTGGGCGGAGTGACCTTGGGCGGGAGTGACCTTGGGCGGGAGTGACCTTGAACGGGTCTGACCTTGGGCGGGAGTAACCTCGTATAGTGAAGTGTCGACAGCACGCCCTTGAACGCGGAGGTGACCTTGAGGGCGAGACAAAGTGACCTTGAAGGAAGGTTGTACGAGTAACCTTCGCATATGTGACCTTGGGAACGAGTGACCTTGAGTTGTAGAGAGAGAGAGAGAGAGAGAGACCTCGGCCTTGGAGAGGGAGGTGAAAGCGTGTGCGACCTTGAAAATGGGAGTAGGCTGGTCGAGGTCGTTTTGGTAGAAGTGGGGTGCTGTGTTACGTCATGACTCCCTCCTATATAAACCCAATAGTTGTGTCCATGAGAGCACAGTTCTCTCTCAATACTATCATCAAACATCAAGTTGAATAGTTCTTTGTGAGTGATAAATCATCTAAACAAAATGTTAGTTTGCAGTGTGTGCGCTAAACCTTTCACACGTAGTGACAATCTACGACGTCATCAAAGGGTTGCATGTGTGGGAAATTTCAACCCATCTATTGCAAAGAAGCCTCGACTGGAAGATGGCACTCAGCAAGCAGCAACTTCTGCAAATGTGCAGACATGTACTGTTTGCAATAAGACCATTCCAACCGATAAAATGGGTGCGCATAAAAGGACATTGGAGCATCGGACAAACGCTTGCGTCAATTATAGGGACGGAGTATATGTGATTGAAAATGCGTTCAAATGCCGCATTGTGAGCTATCGATTGGAATGCAGAACTGATGTATTGGATTACAATACGTTTTTTAATGAGAATAAGGCAACCATTATATCTTTATTGGATAATATAATCTCGATTCACCACTCCATCAAGGTGAATATGGAAGTGTTTGGAAGATACATTTTACAATCCCAAGATCTTCATGACATCAAATCCTTCATGACGCCAAATCACATCATGGATTCATCGCTGGATTTGGAGGCCGTGGTTGACACATTCAAGGACATCTTATTGAATCAAACGACCGAATTCGAGGAGCGTGATTCTGGTGAGTTGGTATGATTTTTGAAATATTTCTGATTATTAACAGATGTTACTATTGTTATAGGTTGGGCTTTAGAAAAAATAATGTTCCTGGAAATCAATATCAACAAGTACAGCCCTCTGCGTGGATGCTCTTACATGAAGCTACCTAGCTTCATAGAGAATAAAAAGGCCGTTGTAAACATAGTGAATCAGGACGAGTGCTGTTTCGCTTGGGCTGTGACGTCTGCACTGTATCCGGCAAGAGCTAATGTTTGCGAAACCTCTTCATATCCGCACTATTCTACAGTTCTGAATTTGGTGGGTATAGAGTTCCCTGTTAAAGTGAGTAGCATTCCAAAATTCGAAATTCTCAATGATTGTTCCATCAACGTTTACGGGTTAGAGAGTGTATTTGAAGATCATCAAGTGAAATATCATGTAGTCGGCCCACTGTATTACTCCAAGAAAAGAATGAGTAAACATGTGAATTTACTTTTGACCACAGATGATGAAACTAGAAATAGCCACTATTGCTGGATAAAGAATTTATCAAGGCTGGTATCTAGCCAGATATCTGCCAAAGCGCATAAGAAATTTTTTTGCGACGGTTGTTTGATATATTTCTCAGATGAAACAAAGTTGTTACGCCATCAGCTGAATGATTGTAATCATACATATACTACAACTCCGTCCACAGAGATCAAAGTCGATAAATTTGGAAATTCAGTACCTGAAAACATTTTGAAATTCGAGAAATTTGAGAAACAGATGAAAGTACCATTCGTTATTTATGCAGATTTCGAATCAGTTCTGAAACCGATACATACTAGTCAGCCAGATCCGAATAAACCCTTTACTAATAGAACATTCGCACATGAACCTTATTCATTTGCATACCTTATCAAATGCTCTTTCGATAATTCTATCACGAAATATGTTACATTCCGTGGAAAAGATGCTGCGAAAAAATTCGTATCCAATTTAGTCAATGACTGCAAAATAATATACAACTTGTTTCTAAAACGTGTAGTTCCTATGGAAAAATTAACTCCGGCAGAAGAAGTTGAATTCGCTAATGCCACGGAGTGCGGTATTTGCGATAAAGCTTTTATATATGGCGACGTCAAAGTGAGAGACCACTGCCATCTAACGGGAAAAAAAAGATTCGGTGCCGCACATTCAATATGTAATTTGAACTTTAAAATTCCAAATTTCATCCCCATATTTTCTCATAATATGAGTGGCTACGATAGCCACCTTTTCATCAAGCAATTATTCGATAGAGAAGAGAGAGTTGATTGTATCGCGCAAACTAAGGAAAAATATATTTCATTTACCAAACATATTTTAGTAGACGAATATTTGGGAAAAAACGGTGTGAATCAGAATGTCTTCTTGAAACTGCGATTCTTGGATAGCTACAAATTCCTTGCCCAACCCCTGCAATCCTTGGCCGAAAATTTGAATGAATCTCAATTTGTAGAAACTGCTAGATATTTTCGCGACCCTGAAGAATTCAAATACATGACGCAGAAGGGAGTTTTTCCATATAGTTTCATAACGTCTATGGATAAATTGGATAATGAAGATCTGCCATCAAAAAGTGATTTTTTCGATAATTTATCTAATACACATATTTCGGACGAGGATTATCGAAGAGCTGAGCATGTTTGGAATTTATTCCAATGTAAATCACTCGGTGATTACTCCGACCTTTATTTAAAATCAGATGTTTTATTATTATGTGATGTTTTCGAGAACTTCCGGAATGTTTGTTTGAAAACGTACAAGTTAGATCCGTGCCAATACTTCACTGCACCCGGTTTATCGTGGGATGCTATGTTGAGGTACACAAAAATCGAATTGGAATTGTTAACCGACATCGATATGATTCATTTTTTCAAAAAAGGTATAAGAGGCGGGATTAGTCAATGTAGTCTGAGGAGTCATGTTGCGAATAATAAGTTCATCCCAAACTTCAATCCAAATGAACCATCAACATTTATCATGTATTTAGATGCAACTAACTTGTACGGTCATAGTATGTCACAGCCGCTACCAACATCCGATTTTAGGTGGTTGACCAACCAAGAAATTATAGAGTTAGATGTCATGAGCGTTGAAAACGATAGCCCATATGGGTATGTCCTTGAAGTTGATGTGTACTATCCTGAAGAATTACATGATGCACACTCAGATCTACCCTTCCTCGTGGAATCCATTGCTCCACCCGGATCGAAATCTAAGCTGAAAAAACTGATTCCTAATTTATCGAATAAAATTAAATATATTGTTCATTACAGAAATCTCAAACAGGCTATGGAAAACGGTTTGACCTTGATAAAAACACATAGAGTTCTCAAATTTAAGCAATCCCCGTGGTTAAAAAAGTATGTTGACCTCAATACAGAAATGCGTAATAAGAGTACAAATAAAGCTGATAAAAGTTTATACAAGAATATGGTCAACTCAGTTTATGGCAAAACCATGGAGAATGTTGATAAAAGAAGCGATATCAAACTTGTGACTCATTGGGAAAGTATCACAAAGAGGAAGGGTGCTAATGCATTGATAGCACTCCCCAATTATAAAACCTGTAAAGTATTCCATGAAAATTTCGTAGCAATCCATATGGGAAAAGTTAAAGTGCATTATGATAAACCGCTGTATTTAGGTTTCAGCATATTAGATGTATCAAAAGTCGTTATATATAACTTTCTGTATGAATGCATTAAGAAACATTTCTCTGGTAAATCGTGGCTATTGTATACTGATACGGATTCTTTGATATTGAAAATAGAAACAGAAAATTTTTATAATTTCATGAAGGAGAATATAAGGTATTTCGACACATCTAATTACCCCGTAGATAACAAATTCAATATTCCAATAACGAAATCAGTAGTGGGAAATATGAAGGACGAATTTCCAAATGATCCTATTGTGAGCTTCTATGGGACGGGTGCCAAAGCGTATTACGTTCAATCTTCGAATTCCGAATTGAAAAAAGCGAAGGGTGTTTCAAGGCCAGTTGTTAGAAGTGAATTATCGATGGATGATTATAAGAAAATCGTAGAAAATGGTGGCTTGATATTCAGAAAAATGAATACTTTTCGTAGCGATCGGCACGATATTTATACTGAAATGAAAAACAAAGTCGCCCTTTCATACCATGACGATAAACGGTTTATCATACCTAATACTGTTAAAACTTTACCTTGGGGGCACAATGATATCGAATTTTATCAAACGAGTCCTGAACGTAATATGCTTTGGGTACAACAAGCAATATCTGCTACAATGCAAACAGCTGAGAAATCAAATTCTAGCGATAATTTAGATGACCTGATAAAAATGTTGATGGAACACTCAGAGCCTCGATAATAATAATAATAATGCGAACTCTGTACCCAACCTCGTACGCTTATATTCATATTTATTGTTTAATCTAGTCTCCATATGATGTGATACGAGTTCTGTACACTCTTTATCTAGTCTACATATTATATTATTTATATATATTATATACACGTATTTTTGAATAAATTATTACTTAGATTATTTGAGATGTGTTTTATTCATATTATAACGTATATCAGCCAGCTGATGCCGCACCACAATAATATTGAATATCGAATGAAATTTTGGTTCGCATTGAATAATGCAGCCTTGTGTGGAGGTCGACCTTGAGCTACGCACACATTTTCGATAAGGTTCGTTTTGGTGAAAAGAGGCTAGGTGGGGGAGGAAGGGGGAGATGTAGGCGGATATTAGCGGTGGAAGGAGAATAGGTGGAGCTTAGCAGATAAAACTCATTGAATACACGGAGACTCCTCATTCTGTTAGCAGATATCATCCACTAGCTCCACTACCAGAGTACTCTCGATATACCATCTTTTTTGTGCCAATCCAACTACATCGTCGATTAACCAATTGTAAGTACAAGTTTTGTTGCCATATGGATCATTGCTAGTGAATTGTATTTCGATTCACAGTTTTTCATCAAATAGTCTACGTTGATCTGAAATGATTTTTTTTCTTCAGATGCCTAGCACCGATTTAACCACAGCTTTCGCAGCAGAAGAAGAAGACATTGGATCTCTCCCTAATCTGAGTGAGTTTTCTCGATAACTTGACGGTAGTTCATTTTATAGATTTCATAATTTGTATTTCAGGCATTGATGGGTCTATCAGCAATTTGAATGTGGATCAAGAAGACCTGGATATCAGCTTCAATAGTGAATTGCTGGCAACCGATGAGGCTTGGGCAGGCGTGTCAGCAACATTATTAGATATGCCCCTACTTGAAGGATCACCATCCGGCCCTACCCCATCTACAAGTGCTGGTCCCGCAACTGGGGTATTCAAAAGGCCTTCGAAATGCCTCAAGATGAGCCGAAACCAATCTGAGGCATCATCACGGTTGGAGGTTGGCGCCAAGGTTCGAGATCCCAATGATGGCGACGTCGAAAATGGTGGTGTCTTGATGCGGAAAGGAAAGAAACTCTTTTTCGGCAAGAAGACTCCTTCACCTTCGTCTTCACCATCACTGACGCCGTCATCGTTGGATAAGCCTGAAATCGATTGCCGGAAACCTTCGCCTAAGAAAAAGAATTTGGGGATGAGAGGTGGGAGTCCATCAATTCTTCGAAAGTTTCTGGGAAATCGAGGCAAATCTAACCCCTACCGAAGTGGCAAGGCTGGCATGTGGTATAATGCCGGCAGAGATCATGCTGTATCAACCACATCGAAACAGCAGGAACAGGAACAGGAGCAGGAGAAGGAGCAGGAGCAGGAGCAGGAGCAGGAGCAGGAGCAGGAGCAGGAGCAGGAGCAGGAGCAGGAGCAGGAGCAGGAGCAGGAGCAGGAGCAGGAGCAGGAGCAGGAGCAGGAGCAGGAGCAGGAGCAGGAGCAGGAGCAGGAGCAGGAGCAGGAGCAGGAGCAGGAGCAGGAGCAGGAGCAGGAGCAGGAGCAGGAGCAGGAGCAGGAGCAGGAGCAGGAGCAGGAGCAGAAGCAAGCGCAGGAGCAGGAGCAGGAGCAGCCAGAGCGGGTCAGAATTATAAGTGTGGATATTATACGTCCGGCTGTCCAACTGCCGAATCTTCAAGAGGCGTTCAACGGGCTTGCTGCTGCTGCTGCTGACAATAATGGTACCGATTGTAATGCTCCCATTCACATGCGCATTCCATCGCCTCCAATAGCACCTATCGAAGCCATAAGGCAATATGATGGTGAATTGAAGCGATGGTATGCGAACGTCAATGCACTGATCACAGATAGTGAAAGCAAAACTACTCGTTTATCATCAGAAAGAGATGAATTGCTTTCACGACTGGCTGAGATAGGTCGACAATTGACGACAGAAGGAAAATTTCGCCAAGTCTGCGAAGTGGAGAAGTCTCGCCTCGAACATTTCAATCGGATGAATGAGGAATATTTGGAGCGAACTTAGATGTGTTTGTTTCATGTTAATATGTTTTATATATAAGTTGTATATTATAGTGTTGATGTATAAATTGTATATGTGTGTAGAATTAGTAATGGACAATGATGTATTTATTGATTTGGATAATATATGAATAAATTCAATTGACGATTTATTTCTTACTACCTATCGCTACCCTAATTCCCTCTCTACTCTCCCCCCTACTACTTTAACCATCTCCACTCATTGATTCCCCAGCGACTACGACCTCCTACTTTTTCTTCCCTACTCTTTCCCCTACTACTTCTATTACCCCCTCCTCCAACCGCTGCATATAAATACTTGCTTCCTCCTCGAGATAGTCAGTTCGAAATCAACTCTCGAAGATGGAAAGCAACTACCAGCCCGACACCACCACCAACCACAACGGAGCCAGCTATCGACTTGCGGTTGGAAACTGGCGAGGAGAAGAAGAAGATGATGGACCCTGCGATTCGTCCTCGGATGCTGTCCATCAACCATGGGAAGCACCTGCAGCTGATGGACCCTGCGATTCCTCTGGCGACGCTTCATTCCCATTCCCCTGGGTATTGGATGTCATCTTCGGAGACGAAGACAGCGACAGCGATGGGGCCTCTGACAGAAGTAGTATCAGTATGGACCTCATGGGGAATGGAGATGACTCCGATTCCGATGCCACCCTCATCTTAGGAGGCATCGGAAGAGCGGAGAGCGACGTCGAGGAGGAGGAGGATGACCGTCCAGTAGCAAGGGGTGCTTACCTGGATCCATTCATCATGGAGGACATGGAGATGGACGCGTTCGACGAGCTCGAGATGGTACAGATTCTCGAGGATGCCATCATCTTCGACTGATTTTTGTTTTTGTTTGTACATAGTCATTAGTCATATAGTTTTTTGTATATATAGTCATGTAGTTTCATCAATAAATGTATTAAAAAATATCAGGTTCTTAATTTCTTGATACATTCCTTCAATTCCACTTATATATGTACATGTTGGATGAGAAAAGTAATCAGTATATGAACGGGGTTCGAAGTGGTCACAACTACTTGAAGATGAAAGTATGGAAATAAGTCCAATCAAAAGACAAATTGTTGAAGAATTGCACAAGCCTGCAAGGCGCAATTTCAAAAGAAGAAGAACCATAATAAAAGGTTTTGCAGACTTGTGGCAGATAGATTTAGCCGAAATGCAGACGTATGCAAAACGAAATAAAGGATACCGATATATATTATTCGTTATTGACTGCTATTCCAAATATCTATGGACAAAACCTATCAGAAGTAAAACCGGTCAAGAAGTGACACAAGCTATGAAACATATATTGAGAGTGGCCGAGTATTCACCGAAAAACATGCAAAGCGATCTTGGAAAAGAATTCTATAATTCTCATTTCAGTAATCTGATGAAGGAATATAAAATAAACCATTATTCAACATATAGTACTATGAAGGCGGCGATTGTGGAACGAGTAATCAGAACAGTGAAGAATTGGATTTACCGAGAATTTTCTGCCAGAGGGGAATATAAGTGGTACGATATCTTACCGCACTTAACCAACTCGTACAATGATAAAAAACATAGGACAATTGGTATGAAGCCCTCTGAAGTAACTCCCACTACAATACTGAAAGCTTATAGTCACCCAAAAATAGCGCCGAAACCAAAATATAAAGTTGGTGATGTTGTAAGAATAAGCAAGTTCAAAGGTGTGTTCGAAAAAGGTTATTCAGCAAATTTCTCCACGGAATTATTCACGATAACCAAAGTGAATATTACTAATCCGACAACTTACAATCTGGACGATATTGAAGGCAATCCAATCAAGGGTTGTTTCTATGAGATGGAATTGTTGAAAACTAAGAATCCAAAAGTGTACTTGGTGGAGAAAGTCTTGAAGAAAGACAAAAGTGGAAAGAACGTATATGTCAAATGGCTTGGATATCCTAAGGAGCACAATTCTTGGATTAAGAAATCTGCTATTACTTGAAGTGTAGTGTGTGTGTTTTTTTTTTTCAATAATAAATAATTCGAACATATTCGGTAATATCTATTCTTTTTTTCTACCCTCCCACCAAACCCATGAAGAATGAAATCGAGAAATGTTTTCAAGTTGAAATATATATATTTGCTGTGTTGAAGAATATTCACATAATGAATGTACAAAAAAAAATAATAAAGTATAAAAAAACGAAATCACTCGTCTTCATCGGAGAGTAGTTAAAACTAAGAGAGCATGACTATCAGCATAGGGAAATACACGCTTTAATCTTAACTGGAACGCGGCCTGTGTTCTAGCGGGGAAGCGGGGTAGCGGGAGCGCGAGCTTATCGAAACCGCAACAAATAACACTTTAATGACAATAACAAGATGGTGACGACATCATCATCAT